TCAGCTTTGGGATCGGACCCACAAGCGCCTCATCGTCATTCAGCAGCAACAAAAGCGCCAGGCCGATCGCCATCGCAACAACCACACCATCACGGTGGGAGACCAGGTGCTTCTTGACACACGCAACCTGGACATCAGCCACCTCCCATCTAAACTGCAACCTCGCTTCTGCGGGCCTTTTCTCGTTGAAGCACAGGTTACTCCTGTTACCTTCCGCTTGCGTCTGCCAGCCACCCGGAAGATTCACAATGCCTTCCATGTCCAACTTCTGAAGCCCTATCGGGATCCGAACACAATCTTCGTCGGACGCCAACCGCCGCCGCCGCCACCCGTCCTCGTCCAGAATGAACCCGAGTACGAGGTCGAGTCCGTGCTTGCACACAGCCGACGTCGAAATGGCGCCGTGGAGCTTCTCATCCGTTGGAAGGGTTATGATCCTTCTGAGGACAGCTGGGTCCCTGAGTCCGACATGGGTAACGCCCGTCGTCCTCTGCATGACTACCTTGTCAAGCAGGGTGTTACTTCTACCACCCAGCTTTGAGGGGGGGAAGTGTGAGAGTATGACCCCGTTACACCACTTGTCCCTTTTCTTATTTCATTTCTCTTTTTATCTCATCTCATTTGGTTTCCTATTCTCCATTTTCCATTAACCTTTGGTTTATCCTGCTATTATAGTTATATCACCGACCAGGCTTGGGATGTACTGGTGCGCTATCTGGCGTAATCCTGCCGTAATCCCTTAAAGCCAATAGCCTCGCGTGGCTATACGCAGGGTGATTCTACCTTCTAGAAGGGTCTATTCCCTTAGGATAAGATAAACCTTGTTACCTGATGTACTTTGGAAGTATAAAAGCGCCTTGTACTGATCGATAGTGCAACCTTTCCTCGACACATTCGATCCTGTGACAACAAGTGTCCAAGTACCAAGTATCGGTATCTGTACTGCAATTGACCATGTGAGTGGATGAAGTAGGTAAACGAAAAGTTGAAGTTACCGTACTAGTGGCTAAATTTGAATTGGTGGCTGTCGGTTTTGATGAGGTGCTTGGAGGGGCAGAACTGAGTGTCGTTGGTGGTGTTGATATTCCAGATGGTGCTTTTGGAGGCGCATGTTGCTGAAAAGACTGCTTCGAAGGCTGTCGTAGTTGCTGTGATGATTTCGACTATGAGGTTCTTCAGGAGGTAAATATTTCTTCTTAAAGTAGCATCGGTCGGTAGAATGTCCTCCCTTGTTGCAAATCTGACAGAAGAATCGAGGACGTCGAGTTGGTGTTGAATAGAAACTGACTTGAATATCCCCTCTTCTGTTGCGTTGTGACGGCAGGTCAATATCTTGTTGTTCCGCTTGAAGATATGAAGAAATTTCAGCTTCGGAGAGGTTCTGATTCATGCGCAGGAAGGCGCGCGTCTGTCGCCATTCGGGTCCAAGGCCAGCAAGAAGGACCGTGAGAAACATCTCACGAGGGAAGTATCCCCCACTTTTCTCCAGTTGATCACGTAGTGTACGGACGCGGTTGACGTAGTCCATGACGTTCTCATTTGTCATCATCTGCACACTTGTTAACTGCGAAAGAATCTTACTCACTGTTATTGTATCATTTGCCATGTATACCCCCTTCAGATGGTTCCATGCAGTTTCGGCTGGTGTAAAACTTGAGTGAAAAGATCGAATGCCGAGCTGCTCCTTTGGCGATATGTTCCGTACAAGAACTGTATACGCCCCGAAAGAGGCGTGCAAGAAACTCTGCTGCTCCAGTTGTGTTCCCGTAACAGGATAGGTGAATTCTCCGGTGAAGAACGGCCAAAGCCCAGCGGACTGTGCCAGAAGCTCAAACTCGAAGCTCCAGGAGTAGAAGTCGACTCCGTTAAACGGTATGGTCGTCTTGATTTGAGTATTGTTAAGTAAATTTGGAGGCTGAAAGACAATGCCCGCCTGTTGTTGCTGTTGCTGTTGTTGCTGCTGTTGTTGTTGCTGAACTTGCTGTGGTTGCTGAGCAGGGGGACGACCGAAGATGTAGAAAGGATGCTGAAACTGCTGTGACTGCGGCTGTTGTACGAAAGGTGAGAAAGCGAACGAACCAGTACTTGGAGCTGTAGCTCCATGCATGTAAGTTGAGCCGTCAAGAACTGTATACGCCCCGAGAGAGGCGTGCAAGAAACTCTGCTGCTCCAGTTGTGTTCCCGTAACAGGATTGGTGAATTCTCCGGTGAAGAACGGCCAAAGCCCAGCGGACTGCGCCAGAAGCTCAAACTCAAAGCTCCAGGAGTAGAAGTCAACACCATTAAAAGGTATGGTTGTCTTGATCTGAGTATTGTTAAGTAGATTTGGAGGCTGAAACACAGTGCCTGGCTGTTGCTGTTATTGCTGTTGCTATTGTTGCTGTTGCTGTGCTTGCTGTGGTTGCTGATAATGTTGTTGCTGTACTTGCTGTGGTTGCTGAGCAGGAGAACGACCAAAGATATAAAAATGATGTTGAAACTGCTGCGACTGCGGCTGCTGTACGAAAGGTGAGAAGGCAAACGAACCAGTATTTGGAGCTGTAGCTCCACGCATGTAACTTGAGCCGTCAAGGCTCATCCCACTGAACGCAGATGAAATTGATTGCGTTGAAACTGGTGGCTGTAGTGACGCTTGTTGCTGTGCTGCAGGTGTAGTCGATGGAGCACCTGGAGTATTTACTGAAGGCGGATTCTGCTGTTGCATACCGATATTAGCATAGGCTTGTGGAAATGGCCCAGAGGCTGAGAGACCAGCGGCGGTAGTGGAGGCATGTGCTTTCAGAAACCCAGCCACTAACCACTGGGTTAAAAGGGCTTATTGAATAGCGGGTAAGTGCGCCCATAGCCCCCCAGGCTCTGCACCTGTGGCCCTTCCCCGAGGATCTCAAGGGCAACCCCAGCGGGTCACTCAACACCCCCCCCTCCGCTGGGATAGGTGGAAGACACGAGCGCCTCTGCAGCACTGGCACTGGGAGTTGAACCCAAGACCTTTGGCTCTGATACCATTTCAGAAACCCAGCCACTAACCATTGGGTTAAAAGGGCTTATTGAATTGCGGGTAAGTGCGCCCATAGCCCCCCAGGCTCTGCACCTGTGTATCAAACAGTGAAATTGATGAATAGAGAGAGAGAGTACACAAACATATACCTAACTGTTGTACTCTCTAGAAGATGACCCCATACAGTCTATACAAGCATGATAACTAAACATGTTTGACACACCCCCTGGACTGCATAGGGGAATGTTCTAGACAAGCAGCTCAGGGTGGCACTACTAGTCCAGCCTCTGAGACAAGGGTCTAAAAGACCAGTCAGAAGGAGTACAGGCAAGGCAAGAACTAGTACAGGGCGGCACTACTAGTCCAACCACTGTAAGAGGACACAAGTCCAGTCTGAGTGTACACACAGATATATAGGACAGTACAGAGTCAAGGCCCGAGTAAGTGAGAGACTACAGGAACCAGACCAAGCTGTACACAGTGCCGCTGATGATCTTTAGGCGCAAGCGCCTTCGTAAAGATATCAGCTGTGTTGGCACCGGAGGCTAAGTGTACTACGCGAGCCTGGCGACGCTGCTGTAGCTCACGCAGGAGGAAGTACCGCAGCTGGATGTGCTTCGCTCTGCCCTCGAGTCGAGGCTCCTGACACAGGAGGATCATGGCCCTGTTGTCAGCGTACAGGACTGGGGCAGAGCTAGGCCGCTCACCTAAGTCAGTGAGCAAAAAGGTCAGCCAGCGGAGCTCCTGTGCCGCCATGGCACCGGCGTAGATCTCGGCCTCACAGCTGGACTGGGCAACAGACGAAGAGCGGGTAGCTCTCCACGAGACAACACCTGAACCAAGGCTAAAGCAGTAGCCCTGGGAAGACCTGAGCGTCTCGGCGTCGTCTGCCCAAGAAGCGTCTGTGTGTCCAGTAAGGACCACTGGCCTGCGTCCGCCTAGCACTAACCCCATGCCCGATGTACTTGCAAGATAACGCAAAACCCTCTTAGCGGCAGACCAGTGCTGAGGTCGGTGCCTGCCTGTGGCCACGAAACGAGCCAGGATGCTGAGAGGGTATGCGAGATCTGGGCGAGTGCAAGTCATCAGGTACATGAGGCAACCCACTAGCTCAGCGTAAGGACCACTGGGATCTACCGACTCCTCAGGAACTGGAGCGGAGAGTCTGTGGTCCAGAGGAAGAGGGGTGGGCTGTGCGGAGGAGAACTGAAGGCCGAACCTCTGAAGGACCTGGCGCACCAAGTGTGACTGAGTCAGGGTGATGGTGCGCGCGGCTCTGTCCCTGGAGATCTGCAAGCCAAGGTAACGGCGCAGCTCTCCAAGGTCAGTGCAGGTGTGTCTCTTCAGCAGCTCTGCCTTCACGGAGGCCAGTGCGTCCCTGTCAGCAGTGGCAAAGACCAGGTCGTCTACGTAGACGAGGATGTAGAACGGAGTCGAGCCAGCACGAACGAAGAGCGAGGGGTCTGCAGAGGATGGAAAGAACTGCAGGTCAGCAAGGGTAGCACGCAAAGTGTCGTGCCACTCACGAGGCGCCTGGCGCAGGCCGTAGACTGGCCGCCGCAGAAGCCACTGGGTCCCAGGGGGGAAGGTGCCAGTAAAGCCCTGAGGGCGACGCAGGTAGACCTGCTCGTGAAGGCTGCCCTGAAGAAAGGCAGTGGAGAAGTCGAGGGAGTGAAGCTCGTAGTCACGCTGAGCCGCTACGTGTAGCAGCACCCGAAGAGTAGTCATCTTCGGGGTAGGAGAGAAAGTCTGAAAGAAGTCCACCCCCTCGCGCTGACTGAAGCCTCTAGCCACGTAGCGCGCCTTGAACACAGGCGGCTCTCCAGGAGGGCGCTTCACCTTGAAGAGCCAACGGCCATCGACCACGTTCACCCCAGGTGGGGGAACTGCGTCGACGAAGGTGCCGGTGGATCTCCAAGATGCCATCTCCTGCTCCATGGCAGCTATCCACTGAGAGGCCCAGGGTCCCGAAACCGCCTCAGCGTAAGTACGAGGGGTCGGGATGTCGAAAGCGTCTGGGTCACCCTCAGGGACTAGCAGCATGGAACAGAGATGGGGAGCAGCCTCGGACAGGAAAGCAAGCTCAAACTGGCGGTCCTCCAGGACGTCACTGCCGAGGGCAGGAGCACCCCCGACAGACGGAGGACAGGCAGGGTGAGAGACCAGAGCGGTGGCGTAGTCAAGGCGGCGGGTAGAGGCGAAGTCAGCGACCGCAGCGACGAGGGTGTCAAGACTCGACACGGGAACAGACGGGTCGGTAACGAGAGAGGCAAGGACCCGAGGAACAAGAGGACGAGCGGCACGAAAGAAGTCGGACAGAGGAGGAGACGCAACGACAAGAGAAGACGGAGGAGGAGACGGGAGGAGGGGAGGTCGAGACGCGTGGGAACGGAGCAACATAGGGTGAGAGCGCGGGACAGGGGAGACAGGACGAGCACGAGAGGGGCGGCGAGACCAGACGTGTGAGGGCGGCGTCGGGTCAGGAGACAGAGGAGGGGACACAGGAGGGGAACGAGGGGGAAGACGAGCCGGGGACGAGTCTGGCAGAGGGAACACGGGGCCGTAGACGGGAAGAGGGGGAGACGGCAGGAGAGGAACAGGCGCAGGGTCAGGAGACGGAAGGCCGAGCAGACGGAGGGCGGACACAGGCGGGGATTGCTGCTGCGGTGACACAACACCAACACCAGGGCCACAAGCTGCGCGACGGCTACCTCCCGAACCCTCCACACCTGCACCCCCAGAAGGGACACCCCCAGAGTCCACAAACGGCGGCAGCGACGACGGCGGCGGCGGCGGCGGCGGCTGCAGCGACGGCTGCGACGGCGGCGGCGGCGGAGACGACGGCTGCAACGGCGGCGGCGGTGGAGACGACGGCTGCAGCAGCTGCGGCGACGGCGGCTGCGGAGGCGGTGGAGGAGGAGACACCGGGGGAGGGACAGACGGCGAGGACTGCGCCGGAGGACTACCAGAGTCAGAAGACTCGTCGACCGGGACGACCGACGGGAGGGGGGTGACGTGAGACACACCAGAGGGGGCCGGACGGGGGGCGGGGGGGGGGAGGGGCAGGGACCACCAGGGAGGGAGGAACCAGGAAAAGGGGGGGAGTAACCGGGGGACCACGGTGGGGAAAGCGGCGGTAGAAGGAGACGGACTCGTCAAAGGTGACGTCGCGAGAGTGAAAGAAGCGGTGAGACGGCGGGTGGTAGAAGTGCCAGTCGGACGCGTCAAGGGGGAAACCGAGGAAGACGCAGGGGAGGGTGCGGGCAGTGAGCTTGTCCGTGCCAGAGGCACGAACGTGAGCAAGGCAGCCCCAGACGCGGAACGCAGACGCGTCACCAGGGGACCCGGTCCACAGAAGGGTCGGCGAAACCTGCGGCCGCTGGGGGTGCGGCCACAGGTTAAGCTGGTGAGCGGCGTAGCGCACGGCGAACGGCCACAGAAAATGGGGTGCACCGGCATGGATCATGGAGGTGCGAGCCACCTCCATGACCAAACCGATGCGTCGCTCAGCGACCCCATTCTGCTGCGGGGAGTCCGGCAGGGTAAACGTCTGGGTGATGCCCTCCGCACGACAGAAGCGACCAAGGACACCTGAGGCAAACTCGCCACCCCGGTCGGAGTGAAGGCGCAAGGCAGGGAGACCGCGGTGGACACGAGCAGAGACAAGCCAGGGGATGAGAACGTCAGGCACGTCGGCCTTCCGCTCCAGGGGGAAGACGGTGGTGTAGCGCGTGAAGTCGTCGACAAGCACTAGGAAGAAGCGCTCGCGACGCGGCCCATGGACCGGGGCTGGGCCCCAGACGTCCATGTGCAGAGTCTGCAGTGGTGCGGTGGTAGGGGGAAAAGAGGAGGAGTGAGGGGCACGGCGGAGCCGGCCCTCGACACAAGGCGTGCACGGTGGGGCGGGGGAGGAGGGAAACTCGGGGAACGAACCGGGGAGACCAAGGACGAGACCGTGCTGGGACATGTGACGCAGACGTGGGAGTGCAGGGTGACCAAGGCGGTGGTGCCAAAGGAGAGTCGGGTGAGTGAGGGACCGACAGGAGCACGCGGCTGCAACCTGGGTGGACGCAGCTACCGGGGGGGAAGACCCAGCCGGGGACGGCGCGGTGTCAAGTGTGAACAGGCCGGACACCGGGTCCCGGGGGAAAGTGGTAAGGGGGGCACCAGTGGCGGCCTCGGTACAGACAGCATACCGCTCGTGACCAGGGAACGTAGTGGTGACGCCAAGGTCCTGGAGGCAGCCGACACCAACTAGGTTCCTGGAGAACGAGGGGATATGCAGACCTGTGAGAGTGCCCGAAGGAACCGCCGGACAGGGAAGGGAGGTGGAACTGCGGGCAACGACGGGACCACCGGAGGGGTCAGCAAGAGTAACTGCAGCGGGAACAGGCAGCGGCGTCAGCGTCGTGGAGTCGCGGAAGAAACACCGGGAGGCGCCAGAGTCCAAGGTGAAGGAAAGCGCAGCAGTCGCGCGAGGCAGCAGTGAAGCGGTGGAAGCACCAAGGCTAAGCAAAGCAGGAGATCCTACGCCTGACGCAGCAGGGGAGTCTACGCTAGGCACCGCTACACTAGGCAACACGGGGTAATAAGAGGGAAGCACACTAGAGTCATCAGCATACATCACATGCAAGGCCGCTACAATGGCATCCATGTCCAAGTCAAAAATCCTAATGCTACGCCTAAGCAAGCTGTGCCAGTCAGGGAGGTCGGGCGCCGGGCCAAAGCGCTGGCGGAACAGGTCGTCCAGGCGACGAAAACAGCGAGGAGTAGAATGACCGATCTTACCGCAAACGAAGCCGCGGCGAGGACCGGTCTGGATCTGGTACTGACAGGGCCCGCCTCCAGAACCACCACCCGGTGCACCACCACGCGCACGACCACCACCAGCTCCAGGCCACCCAGGTGGGAGAGTACTCGCGTGCCTCGTCTGCGGCGGCTGCTGCGAAGGCTGCGGCTGCGGCGACTGCTGCTGCTGCGGCTGCTGCAACTGTGGAGGGAGCGGGGCAGCTGGACCGGGCAGGGTCCCCACGTCCGCACCGGCACCGGACGACCCGCCTCCACCACTACCCCCACCCGCACCCCCGCCGCCTCCGCCGCTCCCAACCTTGGGGCGGCGGCCCTTCGCCGAGCGGGACTGCACTGCAGCAGCAGTCTCAGCCACAGCGACAGAGCCGTCGGAGAAGGTACACTGAGCGAGGGCACAACCCTGAAAGATAGGGACCGGTACTGTACCGCTCGCCAGGGCTATGGAGCGGTGACGAGTCTCTATGGCAGTCAGGGTGTCAACAAAGTCGGTGAGGGTGAGAGCAGCAGGGTGGATGCTAAGGAACTGGTCGCGGGCAGCGGCAAGGCGGTCAGGTAGGCGGGTGGCAAGGAGGTAGAGGGTAGAGGTCATGGGAGGCTGGTGGACGCTAAGCTGAGCATCTGTGCAGGCAGCGCGCCAGGCCTCATCTATCGAGCGCAGGTGGGCAGCGAGGTCAGAGACAGTGGGGAAAGACGCCAGGTCAGGAAAGAGCAGGGGAAGGATCAGGCGACCCACTGAGGCAGCAGGAGGGGTAGAATAGCGCTTGATGACAGCATCGAGGTAGGCCTGGGCGGTAGGAATGGTTCTAAAGCGAGGGCGCTCAGTGGGGGGGAGGGCATTGCTAATGGCGAGCTGAGCAAGGGCATCGCGGGAAAGCCAGACAGAGCGGGCAAGGGCAGCAGCGGCAGTGGACTCGCGCTCAGCGGGCGTGGGATCAGCGGGCAGCACAGCAGGGGGGTCAGGGCAGGGGAGCATACCGTCTAGGTGTGCAGAAAGCGGGTGGCCGTCCTGCCGCTGGCCAGTGAGGTGGCGGCGAAGGTCAGCCAACCACGCCTCGAACTCCAGAGGCTGACCCTCAACATCAAAACGAAGCTCAGCAGCCATGAGGGGCAGTGGAGGACAGTGCAGTGCGGTGCAGTGCCATGCAGTGCGGTGCAGTGCGGTCCAGTGCGGTGCAGTGCGATGCAGTGCGGTGCAGTGCGGTCCAGTGCGGTGCAGTGCGATGCAGTGCGGTGCAGTGCGGTCCAGTGCGGTGCAGTGCGGTCAGTGCTATCCAGTGAGGTGCAATGCGATGCAAGGCGGGGCAGGAAAGTGCAGGAGGGTGCAAAGTGGTGCGGGGAACGGGGGACAGTACCAGGAAGTATGGAGGGCCGGGGCAGGTGCGTCGGGGCCGGGCAGGCACGACAAGGCCGGGCGGCGGCGACGGGGCCGGGCGGCGGCGACGGGGCCGGGCGGCAGCGACAAGGCCGGGCGGCTGCGGCGGGGCCGGGCGGCTGCGACGGGGCCGGGTGGCTGCGACGGGGCCGGGCGGCAGGGACGAGGCCGGGCCGGACACAGCAGGGCCGGGCAGGGGCGACGGGGCCGGGCGGTTGCGACGTGGCCGGGCGGCTGCGACGTGGCCGGGCGGCTGCGACGGGGCCGGGCGGCTGCGACGGGGCCGGGCGGCGGCGACGGGGCCGGGCGGCAGGGACGGGGCCCGGGCAGGCCACAGCAGGGCCGGGCAGGGGCGACGGGGCCGGGCGGGCGAGCAGGGGCCGGGCAGGTGCGACAGGGGCCGGGCGGGCGCCACGCGGCCGATAGGCCGCGACGGGGCCGAGCAGGGACGACGGGGCCGAGCAGGGGCGACGGGGATGGATAGGGGCGCGACGGGGCCTGGAGGGGCGTTACCAAGCCCAGGTAGGGGCGCGACGGGGCCTGGGGGGAGCGTAATGGGGCCCAGGAGGGGCGCTACGGGGCCTGGGAGGAGCGCGACTGGGCTAGGGAGGGGCGCGACGGGGCCTGGAAGGAGCGCAATGGGGCCTAGGAGGGGCGCTACGGGGCCTGGGAGGAGCGCGACGGGGCCCTGGAGGGGCGCTACCAGGCCCTGGAAGGGGCGCGACGGGGCCTGGAGGGGCGCTACGAAGCCCTGAAAGGGGCGCGACGGGGCCTGGAGGGGCGCTACGAAGCCCTGGAAGGGGCGCGACGGGGCCTGGGAGGAGCGCAATGGGGCCCAGGAGGGGCGCTACGGGGCCTGGGAGGAGCGCGACGGGGCCCTGGAGGGGCGCTACCAGGCCCTGGAAGGGGCGCGACGGGGCCTGGAGGGGCGCTACGAAGCTCTGAAAGGGGCGCGACGGGGCCTGGAGGGGCGCTACGAAGCCCTGGAAGGGGCGCGACGGGGCCTGGGAGGAGCGCAATGGGGCCCAGGAAGGGGCGCGACGGGGCTAGGGAGGGTCGCGACGGGGCTAGGGAGGGTCGCGACGGGGCTAGGAGCACGACGGGGCCCAGCTAGGGGGCGAGCGGAAGCGTGAGGGGGGGGGGGGGATCCTACCTACGCGTGATACCATATCAAACAGTGAAATTGATGAATAGAGAGAGAGAGTACACAAACATATACCTAACTGTTGTACTCTCTAGAAGATGACCCTATACAGTCTATACAAGCATGATAACTAAACATGTTTGACACTGTGGCCCTTTTCCGAGGATCTCAAGGGCAACCCCAGCGGGTCACTCAACATGTGCTCCAGTAGTTCCAATAACTGATCCGGCAGATGGTGCTGGTGATGAACCAGTCATAGTTGACGGTAGTCTTAATTCCAGATAGCTCTCATACCATGAAATAAATCGTCTGATGTTGTAGGAGACTAAGTATAGAATCTACAAACACGAGTACTTAACCAAGGATCTTTGTTGAAATGGTAGACTAGTAAGACAGCGGAACTCTTATCAGAGTGAACCTGAGCACATGAACTTGTGGGTAGTCGAAGGTTGAATAACCTGAGCACATAATTCTGTGTAAAGTCAAGGTTTTTTAATAGAAAGGCATTACACGGATTTATAGCTCTAGGGAAAGTACCTGTTCGCTAATGTATCTGCTCGTCGCTATCGCGCTATGCGACCTATTCGTCATACTATAGGGTCACGACTGTTCACATGACTTAAGCGGTCTGTTACGCCTATTCGCGTAACTGAAACGATATGCTGACGTAATCCCGAGACCCGCGATGTTTTGCTGACGTCAGCACTCGGACCTGTTTCCTTACCGAGAAACTCGATACTGCTAACTACACTGATAATGGAACTTGCAGGAATGCAAAACTTCATTCATCACAACAGTCTTAAGGATCAATACGTCATATAGTAAGACATGGATGCAGGTAAATGCGAAGTTCAGTTACAGCAAACCCTAATTGCTAGCACACCATAATCTAATGCCCCTGCACACAAGGCCAGTGGATGGCAGACTCAAGCAGACAGACCTGCACAGGGACCACAGAAACGTCAGAACACAACTACCAAAGCGCGTTTCTGGACTGCATATGGAAATGGTCATGCAGGACAAATGAAGCTCTACCATAGAGTTCTGGATTCTCAAGAAGTGGGGAGTTCAGGGGGTTGCAGTTGTGGGGGTAGCATCTGACCGTGCTGCTTCTTGCAGTCGTTGAGCATGTCAATGTAGAACTGGCACTTGGCAATGTCCGTGCCATTTGCCTGCACACACTGCACTCGCACACAGACACCACGCCGCCACAAATACGAGTACCGGATGAAGCCATACAGCACCAACAGCAGCGAATGCTCTGTGCACATAACTACCAAGGGCACGCGAGCGTGGGAGGGGTGGTGCACAGTGCATAGATAAGTGCCGTGGGTCAACGCACGCGCATCCCAGTTACTTACGTCAGCGAACGCCTTGGCGTGGTACGTGCATGCATCAGCGGATGCAGGTGCCATGGCAGGGGCGGCAGCGGCAGCGGGCGCGGGAGCAGCGTCGGCCGCGCCAACGTGTTCGTGCGTGACGGTGCGCGGCCCCACCACGGCGTCCATGGCGCGGTGCGCAATGGCGCTGCCCGTGCCGAACGCCAGCCCTGCACGAGAGCAGCGCGCACAGGGGGCGGGAGGGAAAGCATGAAACGAGGGGAAGGGGGTGGGCCAGGAGGAGGAAAGCGGAATGAGCAGAGGGTGCAAGGGGTTCAGTCGGAACGAGGAGGAGCAAGTGGCGAGAGCGGTGATGGTGCCACGGCAGCAAGGCACGGGCGCGTGAGAGGTGCACGTGGCGTGGAGCAGCAGGTGCGGGGGAAAGCTAAACAGCTCAACCACTTGCGCCGCACGTGCTGTGCTCCCAGTGTGGCGGTCCAGGTTGGCACACGCCGTGAACGCGCTTGGCCTATGACGCCGTACCTTGTCCAACCATCCCCATCATGCCGCCCAGCATGCCGCCTCCGCCGCTGCTCTGCTGCATGGGCGCAGGAGCCGGTGCCGCTGGGGAAGCATGCAGGGGGAGGAACGGGCAGAGGGGAAGAGAGGGGAATAAGAGGCAAGCGCGGGATCAAGAGCGGGAAGCGGACAAGCGCGGAAAGCAAAGAATGCGAGATGAGCATGCAGCCTGGTGCGGGCGTCGCTACTGCGCCGCACGTGCAGCCCGCGGCCAGCGCAGTGGGCGGCAGCCATGCAAGAGCGTACCGGCAGGGGCGGGAGGAGGAGCGCGGGGAGCCGCAGCCGGCATGGCGCGAGGGGCGGGGCGCGCTGCTGCAATGCCAAGAGACAGGGGAGAGGGGGAAGGAAGGGAGTATTAGTCGGGCGCGGGGAAAAGAAGGTCGATGGATGCCGTCACACGCACGACGGGCGCCCGAGCAAGGAAGGCCATGCGGGCGAGTCAGAGCACGGCAAACGGGGAAAGCCGTGATCCAGATCGCCTAGCAGTCGCCCCCCGCCTGACGACACGGATCTGGCGGACCACTGCCGCGCCGATAACGGCCTCATCACCCGATGGGTGCTAGGAAACTCAATTGCCGCATGCGACGACTGACGTGCACGTGAAGAGACGAGCGAATGGAAGAACCCTAATCAGCAGCTGCGACAAGCGAGCTGGCGTGCGCCAGCTTACCGGGGCGTCTGCTGCGAGCCATGGCGTGTGCGTCGGGCGGCGAGATAGCGCACGGGTGGCGGTGACGATGGCGAGGTGTTTGAAGATCTGGAGACAGGCACGGCCCAGAGGACTAGAAGTGCAGGGCGAGCGAGTGATGGCAGACGTGGAGCTGGAACGAGCAGATGGTTCCAGAACAAACGCAGCGAGCAGCCGCGATGACCCCTTCAAGAAAACTAGGCGGGCCTGTAGGGATTGCCAACGAGGCGATCAAGGCTGCCTGGTGGTTTGTGCAGGAGAGGGCAAGCGTGGCGAACAAGCGAGCGGTGGACGAAGAGTCATTCGTTACCTGCTGCGCCTTCCAACTAACAGCTGCGAGCGAAAAAAGAATCGCTTGTATCCGTTGTAACACAAACTCGAATTCTCAATATCACACACAAATTGGCTGCCCCCATTCTACCCAACCTATTTCTAAAATGCCCTATGCAGAATCCCGCCATGTATATTAATATGAATGTTCTGTGTACAAGAAAATCTGCAAGGCGATGTCATCTGCGCACTAGACGGGCAGTAGAGGTCATGGTGATGGAACATGGGGGGTGCCATCAAAAATAACTTGTCCAATGTTGTAGAAGACTAAGTATAGAGTCTGCTAATACGAGTACTTAACCAAGGATCTTTGCTGGAATGGTAGACTAGTAAGACAGCGAAAGTCTTATAGGAGTGAACCTGAGCACATGAACTTGTGGGTAGTCGAAGGTTGAATAACCTGAGCACATAATTCTGTGGAAAGTCAAGGTTGAATAATAGAAAGGCATTACAAGGATTTATAGCTCTAGGAAAGTATATGTTCGCTAATGTACCTGTTCGTTACTATCGCGATATGCGACCAGGGTCTCAGATATCAGACGAAATCCGTCTGATGGTCTGAAAATCAGACCTGTTTTTTTGCTTTCATCTGATTTTTTGACGGGGTGAATTATTTCATCTGATTGTCCATGTCAGTCATAAGATTTCGTCTGAAAGTTCAGACTTGGTGTACTTTTTCGTCTGAAATGTCAGATAGCGCGTATAATTTCGTCTGACAGCAATCACCCCTTATCCCACTGTGCCAATGGGTCACCTGCCCAGTGGCCCACACTCTGCCATCTTGGTCCTGGTCGGTGGGCAGGTGCATTCATTTCCACGCGCACCGCGACGGCCAGCGCATAGTCACGAAATGAAATCGGCAGCAACCTGACTCAGGTTGCTGCCAATCGCTCGTCCGATAGTGCGTCACTTGCACGGCTGCCAGCTTCCTTGCATCTTGAAGCTGGCAGCAATGTGCCAGCGCACAATGGTGCGGCCAGGAAAGCCACCCACCGCGAGCCAGCAATGCAGAGCTGTTTCGTAGCCATGCAGCAACCTCGCTCGCCATGCTGCAGCTCAGCGAGGCGCCTGGTCGTAAAGGCACCAAGGGAAAAGCCTCGTAGCCACTTGTCCTGCTCCACCTCGTTCTTCCAGCCCCCAGCATGGCTCCAATCTTGCTCGGCGCACACCCTGCCTAGACGCCCTCTAGCTCTGTGGCTAGACAGCGATGGCGTCAGAGAGAGCGCAGTCGATCCCCTCCCCAGTTAGGCAGTCAATAGTAGGCTTGGAGCCCCCTGGCTCAACCCCTCCGCTTGTTAGTGGTCTAGATCTCCTCACTGGCGCGCTGAACCGAGCCGTCAGTGGCGATGCTCCGGTTGCAGCCGTGGGTGAAGCACCTCCGTCGCCTCTCCCACCCTTAGACGACGAGCCGTGGGTTTTCTTTGACAAAGAAAACTCTACGTGTGATGCTCCAACGTCGCCTAACCCGTCGTCAACACCTGGCTGCTCAACCGTGCGAGCCGTCTCCCCTTCACGCGTGACGTGCGGTCCTGTCCTACCAGTTCGCGCTCCTGGCAAGAAGTATCGACAGCGCAAGCTTACGTTTGGCCGACCAGCGGTGGCTCAGTCTACACCCTCTGTCCAGGTGCAATCCCGGTCTTCCGAAGCATCTCCCGCCGACTCCGACGATGACGATGGTCCCTTTCCCCTCACACTCGCCGAGCTCCAGTTGAAAGCCAAGGAGCAGTGGCAGTGGTATTTCCCATGGCTGCTGATTTCCGAGACCTCTGAGGGGCGTCCAAGCATGAAGTGTAGCATCTGTATGGGGTACAACAACGACCCCAACTACCAGTATGGGCGCAACGGCGAGGGCGGCATCGACATACAGAAGCAGACGATGCGCAAGCACCACCACAGTCAAAAGCACGAGGCGGCGATGGCACGGAAGGAGCAGAAGGATGGCAAGAATGCGAAACAGAAGTCCATCGTCGACTTCGAGAATGGGAACGATGAGAGGCAAAGCGACTGAAGCGACTCATGGCGATTGTGATGTTCCTCTGCAAATCTGACGCCCCCGTTGTGTTGTTTGTGTCACTTGTCCAGTTCATGGCAGAGCAGGGAACACCAGACCTACCCGTGAAGGACAACGGTACCTACCAGAGCGAGTAAGTGTTGTACGTGATACCAACCCGATATACTGTTGATTTGTTACGTGCTTTCTAGAAGGCTGACACTGTACTATTATGCATGCGCAGGTACGGTTTCAATCAGGTGGTCGACAACATCGTCACTTACCTGCGAGCCAAGCAAATGACCCACATCAGGGCTTCACCATTCTTGGGCATCCAACTCGATGAGTCAACCGATCGCCGGCGGGGTAAACATATGATTGTTTACCTTACCTTCCTCCGCGACACGACGGTGGTGACAGAGTTCTTCGGGCATCTCACTGTCGAGAAGTGTGACGCCACATCTCTGCAGGCCGTTCTACTTACCCACCTCGAGTCTCAGGGCGTCGAGCTCAACAAGATTTGCGGCATCAGCACCGATGGAGCCAGTGTGATGACGGGTGCGCAGGCAGGCCTCGTGGCTAGGCTACGCACTCGTATTCCACACCTGGTTTCCTGCCACTGCATCGCGCATAGGTGATTCTAACATTCTATAACAATGCATATTTTAAATTATTATTTCGAAACTAATAAAGTGTTTCTGTTAATCTGCAGGGAGGCTCTTGCTGCCAAGGACACTGCAGATGATTTCCCGGACTTAGGCATCGTCGACAAGGTCGTGCGGTCACTGGCCGAGGTGCTCGGCCGGTCCATCGTCGTACACAACCGTTTCAAGGAGCTACAGGAAGTCGTCACTGAAACTAACCTCGAAATGCAAGGCATTCACCAGATACGTTGGCTTAGTCGCGGTGAGGCTATCCAACGGCTTGTTGATGTGTTTCCCGCGGCCATCCTCCTGCTGTACGAGTATGATAGGAAGATGTATCACGTAGTTGTCTCGTTGAAATTTCATTTCTTGCTGTACTTTCTGGCGGATATGCTGCGGGAGCTGAACACGCTCAACCTCAAGTTCCAGCGTCGCCAGGTAAGCCACATGGTGTCATGTCGTCGGTTTTAGGAGAGTGATGATTAACGAGCAAAACCATCTCCCCTTTCTGTCTTTGTATGGCAGGTCGACGTCACCCAGGTTCTTCGGATGGTCGACAACACTGTCGTTACACTGCGCGCACGCTACGTAAATTACAACACACAGTTCGGCCCACCTGACGGCGACTTCGCCGACTTTCTGCATCTGTACGCGGGGGGCGAGAACGTGACGATCGAGGGGATTGACGCACACGGGGCGCCGACTGTGCACATGTACACTCTACACACAAAGCCGCTGGATGGGCAGCGGAGCAACGGGGATCTGAAGTCGCTACAGCAGCTCGCCACGGACGTCGTCAACGGTGTCATGAACCACCTGCAGGGACGCCTCAAGGATCTATCGAAGCTCAACGGCACAAGACTTTTCAAGCAGACGATGTACCCGAAGTCCACTGCGAGGCGCCAGCGGAAGTTTCTCGAATGGCTCCAGTCTCTGCGCGGCCTCTACAAGCGTGATGCGTCAGCGCCCGACTCTCTGCCAGGTGAGTTCCAAGGGGTTGCAAGTGTCTCCATGGCTCGGGTGTTTTCTGGTTGAGATATTTAACGAAGGCTTCTGTGCCTCTATTTCACCACCCCTTCAGGTGTCCACTGGGGCAAGGCGAAGGCCGAGCTCGTCAGTTTCACCACCATTATGTCGACACACAACGACGAGCTAGGCTTCCACGATGCGCTGAAGAACGTGCTCTCCACGCCGGACTGGATGACTGCTTACCCCAATTTGGTTCTCATCTGGATTGCCTGTGCCGTGCTGCCGCTCAGCACAGTGGAGTGTGAGCGCGGGTTAAGCCGCCAGAACGTCATCAAAAGCTGGCAGCGCGGCAATCTCGGTGATGCGAAGCTAGGCCACTTGATGACGGTGTCGCTGCTCGACTACCCGATGGACTGGGGGAGTATGGTGGCTAGCTGGCGTGGAACGAAGAAGCGGCGACCTGCCAAGGAAGTTGTCATGGATCAGACCGCACGGCAGGTGAAGCGGCCCAAGACGTCAGCGGCATTGAAGGCAGTAATGGCAGCAGCAAAGGCAGCAGCAGAAGCAGCCAGGCAGGCAGAAGCGCTAGCAGCAGCAGAAGCAGCCAAAGTGTTTGAAGAGGATGGTGCGGCTGGCCCAATCTGGAGGAGGAAAAGCAAGGGCAAGAAGGTGCAAGTCTCAGGGAGCGACAGTGATGATGATGACATCGAGGAGGTCGGAAGTGATAGTTCAGACTCCGAGTAGGCAGATGATGGTATGGCACAACATGGTTTAGTATAAGGCTAATTCCTAATGTAGGTTGTGGTAGTGGAGCATCAGTAGCACTAGAGTTTTTTCCAGCTATTCTTAGCATATACGGAAGATGCAATTTCAATGGATGCTAACGACGTGTAACAGTTGTTTGTGTAGCACTATAATGTAGCACATTCGGCATTGTTATATACTGAAACTCCCGCAACGTTTCGTCTGAATTGTCACATCGTGCCAAATGTTTCGTCTGAAATGCCAGACCGGCAAAAAAAATTCGTATGATGGTCAGACGAAAGTTTGAAACCCCGTCTGAACGTCAGACGGCCTAAAATCCTAGCTGAAACCTTGTATGCGACCTATTCGTCATACTATAGGGTCGCGACTGTTCGCGTGACTGAAACGACTCGTTATGCCTATTCGCGTAACTGAAGCAGTATCTGACGTCATCCCGAGACCCGCGATGCTTTGCTGACGTCAGCACTCGTATCAAAGTGAGAACTGAATAATGAGTAGAGAGAGTACAGATGAATATA